GGGCCAATGCACACACAATCGTTCCGTGATTACGTATTTTCGTTCATCAGACTTGCTGGTTCTTTACTTACCTGTTAACAGGGGCGGAATCTTCGAAGTTGCCCTGTGGGTAGTGTTTTTGAGATATTTCCCAATAAATTCTATTTAAGTCTTTTTGAACCATACACTTACATGTAGGTGTAATGCGTACGGTGTTGTGTAAATGCGTGGTGTAAATCTGATTTTTTTAAAACATCTTTCRGGAATCTTGCGCAAATTTGGCAACGAAACAGACAGACACAGTGGAGTTTCAAATCCAAGAAATTGTGCGTCCTGTGGGCGGACCTTTAAAACACYTTTAACTTGCATATTCACTATTTCAGTTCTTATATAATGCCGCGTCTAGAGGAGCCTGTTTCGTGGCAAATTGCGTTGATATTTGGCTTGCTCGGACCAWTATGGAGATRGCTTCGAAAGAAACTTTCAACATTCTATCAGACTATGAAGGCTTTCACGGCCGGTTAAATCACATTTAGGAATGTTTTCCGGGCTTTGAAGCCGTAGTCTATGGAAAACATTCCTAAATGTGTTTCAACATTCTATTGAACACTCTAAAAGAACACTGATTATAGTGAAAAAGACACTGTTAACGGAAGAGTTTCCTATTCTGTGTGTTCAAACATTTTGGAAATTCGAGACTCAGATCACAGTGTTGTCTTATCATCTCAATTCTGGTTCACGTGATCATCGTCATTATACAAAGTGGTTCAAAAATTCCGTTCTTTTTTTTAAAGGTTTGTAGGGTAAAAATTAGTTTAATTTAAAGGCAATATTTTCATGTGACGCGTTAATTTTGGGATTTCCCATTGTGAATGCATCACTCTCTTTATGGAACGTCTTCTCGTTCCACTCGAACCTCAGTTCTTCGAAAATCGCTCTCACTCGTTAATAAACAATACATACAAGGAGTCCTGAAAAACAATAGGACTAAACACATACAGATCAGAAAACTGAGTCCAATCCTGAACACAATCACTTTCAGAATTATTCCGATGTTGCTAAGTGCTAATAACGGGAACTATGGGATGTGTGGAATGTGTCAGGGGTGTTCGTGTATGAGTCTTCAGCCGAGTGGCAAATGTATGCATGGCTTTAATAAGGTTTTTTCTTCTCTCTGTGGTAATGGCAATGTTTCTGAGTTCGTTCAGCCATGGTAAACGCATTTGTCGAACGAGACAGGAAACGTAAAGATCCCTTCCGATCAGCTGGAGGATTACGAATCGGTTTTAGGTGAAAGTTGGAGGAAATTTACTTGGGTGGCATTCACCTGGTGTTTGTTTGAATCGAAACTCATAAAGGGTTCGATTTGAGTTTGGGCGCATTGGATAGGTGGATTCTCTGCATCTGGGTACTATTATTAGATTGACTTAGATACAATAATATTTGATTGCAACGGAAGTTTGTCTGTTATATTTTTTATTCTGATTTGTCCTATGGTGTAGAAATGGGTGCTTGAGGTTAATATGGTTCTGAGAAATTGGTAACAAATGGTGAAAACATGAAATTTAATGGCTTAATCTTGCACCTTAATGTGTTAGATTCAATTTTTGGCGCCTGTGTACAAGCGACCGCTATTTCTTCACGTTACTCTCTGGTCACTCCTACTGAATCGGGCTACCAATTGTCCCTTTAACGATGGGGAAACGAACTCTGAAGCTCTAATTGTTGTCGCACTTTAAAGACATGCGCGCAAAACTATGAAATTTCTTGAAATTTACGCTTTTTTGTGAAAACTGCCTACATTTTCCCACCGATGCTTCATTTCGTAAATATCCCATTTACTTCTCTATCCGGCGGTGTGGAAATGAGCGCACGAGCTCAATTAGTTCCAGAGGAATGAGCAAAAACGTGGCACAAAACATGAAATTGTGTCTTTAATTTTTCACTTATATGTGTGATATCACACACTTTTATGTGTGATATGTAAAATTCGCTTTCTAAATGCAAACGAGCATGAGTTCTTCTGATGAAGCGGGCTTCCAATTCTTTCTAACGATAGAAAAACGAACTCTGTAGCTGAAATGATTCCTGAGAACGCTAAAAAGGGCGGCGTCTTCGATTTAGTACTTTAAAGACTTGCGCGCAAAACTAGGAGTTTTCCGGAAATCTGAGCTTTTTTGTAAAAACTGCCAACATTTTCCCAGCGATGCTCCATTTCGTCAATCGCGTCACTTAGTCTTCGAGTCAGTGTCTGATATTCAAATTACCCTTTCTGGGTCAAAACCACTCGAATTTTCGCACCCATATGGTTATGACTAAATCGAATTTTGAATTCTCTATCCAACAATGCCAAAACCAATTCTGTGGCTCAAATAGATTGCATTCGATAGATGCAGTTTTGCAACTCAAAAAAAACCACGCAAATCTAGAACTTCTTTCTTCTAGAACAGAAAACTGCCAACATTTTATATCGATGGTTCACTTTCGAAAAAGGCCATTCAGTTCGTTCTGGAATGATGAAAAAATAAACGTTTTGCGGATTTTGCTCCGGAGAAATGAGCAAAAACGGGACGGAAAACATGACATTTTGGAATAATCTTGCATCTAATTGTTTGATATTCAAATGTCGCTTTTTGGGTCAAAACTACTCGAATTTTTTCACTCATATGGTTATGACTCCATCGAGTTTTCAATTCTCTATGGTGGCTCAAATAGGACCTGAGAAGCTTCGAAAAAAGCAGCGTCATGTTTGAGTCGATTTTGCAACTCAAAAAAAACACACAAAAGCTTTGTGAAATCAAGACTTTTTGAGAAAACTGCCAACATTTTCTTATCGACGGTTCACTTTCGAAAAAGCCCATTCAATTCTCTCTGGAATGATGAAAAATTAGCRCTTTTGTGCATTTTGCTTCCGAGAAATGAGCAAAAACGGRACGGAAAACATGAAATTTAGGCATAATCTTGCACCTAATTGTTTGATATTCAAATGTCGCTTTCTGCGTCAAAACTACTAGAATTTTCTCTCTCATATGGTTATGACTGAATCGAATTTTCAATTCTCTATCCAACGATGTCAAAACAATTCTGTGGCTCGAATAGATTGCATTCGATCGATGCAATTTTGGAACTCAATAGAGTTGCCTTTAAAAAACCACACAAATCTGAAACTTCTTGAAATCAAGACTTTTAGAATAGAATAGAACAAGAATAGGCCATTTAATTCTCTCTGGAATGACGTAAAAATGTTTTTGCTCATTTCGCTTCCTAGAAATGAGCAAAAACAGAAAGGAAAACTTGAAATTTTGGCATTATCTTGTGGTGTAGAAATGAGCGTACGAGCTCAATTAGTTTTAGAGTGATGACCAAAAACGTAGGACAAAACATGCACATTGCACTTAAATGTGTGTGATATTTAAATTT